AACAAAGTCCCAGTCACTAAGTGGCATGAAATGCCACCTGCTCATGTGAGAGCCTTTGCCCTCTATTACTCATCCCCATATTTCCATTTGGGGTAGGCCAAGTATGGCAGGTATCTACTATCTAAAATAGGTCACATCTAAAATCTTTCTCTGAAGTTGGAGGAATCTTTATTACACTGAATATATATATGTATATATATTTTCCTCTAAGCACCTAGAGGCATTCTACCAGAGCAATTCAATTTCTAAGGATGTATCTAAAAGGCCTTTGCAGCTTGTTAAATGAAAAATAAACCACAAACAAAGCTTACACAAGTTTTCACACCTTGCCAGAGCACCAGTCTGCAGCAAGGAGGGTGACTCAGAGGTAAATCCCATAAAAAAATAATAGGGGAAAATTTCCCACTGACTCCCACAAGATTGCAATGGAGTCTCCTGGTTTTTGCCAATGTTTTGGTCATTTTTGCATCCTCAAGGGCTTGCTGCTCAAATTTCTCTGTGTTTGAGCATCTCATGAAAAAATCACTGATGGGGAAAGAGGCCCAGTTTAGGCTCACTTGAACCTTACAGAAACCAGCAGATATGCGAGTACAGGAGGGAAATTGCTCTGTAGAAGTGATGCACCATATGCCAATAATAATAAAGCCAATGGCAGTGGGAATATGGAGAACCTGTGAGGAATAAAATCAAAGCAAAAAATAGGTTGGAGAGAGAAAAAATGTGTGAGGGCTCTGCAAGGCTGTACCAATGCTGTAACCATATTCAGCTGTCTTGACATCTGATCTTTGGAGGCTTACCAGTGTAGAGACTGGTGAGCCTTAATCCTCAAGAAATACTTGGCCAGACCTAAAAGGTCTCCAAGTGAGCCCCACATTTTGCTAGAACATGGCATGAATCACAGAATGGTTGAGGTTGGAAGGGACCTCTAGAGATCATCTAGTCCAATCCCCCTGCTCAATAAAGAGCACCTAGACCACGTGGCGCGGGAAATGTCCTTCTAAGCCAAACATGATATATGTCATACTTATCCTGCTGCAGTTGTCTCCGCACCAGAGGAGAGGGATCCTAATCCGTCTCCCTTCATCAACGCACTGAGAAATTTTGCATGCTGATATGAACACACATCCCTCAATTCTCACACAGACTGGTCTCCTTAGACATCCAGATACACAAACCATACATCATCCTCCAAAGGTGTGCCCAAAACCGCTTCTGCACCTGCAAAGCTCCTAGAGATCAGGGACTACCTTTCCCACACACACACTCCTCCAATTCATGATCACAATGCCCATCTCACTCACCTACATGTTCAGACATGCATTACTTCTATAATCTGAATTTTGTAACAACAGATCTTTTTTTTATGTATATATACTACAAATTCACCTCAAGAGTGGACCTCTTTTTTTTTTAACCTATAAGTTCTGCTCTGTCATTCACCACTTTAAGACCTTCTTATCCATATATCTGCTATTAACACATACAGCTTTCTCCTATGTTCAAGCCCTGCCAACTACCTCTGAATTAGTCATTTTAGTCACTTTAGCCTGAAATTAATTCTTCATATAGGCACCTAAAAACACTCCAACAACCCCTACTAGCAGGGCATTTAAAAATATAGTTGATATTTTAGAGAGAGGCTTTAAGACCGATCTCTGTGAAGAGCAGAGTCCCTCCACATAAGTACTCAAAAAGCGAACTATGACTGCTTTATCTTTTTTTCCCTCATATGACTGATTTATCTCCTTTTTCCCCCCAAGGCACCTATGTGACTGCATAGTGCTACAATAAGCATTTCAAATGACAAGCCAGGTAAATGTAGTTATTAAGCACAACTGCATATGGCACATGGTATACCTTCCAAGTCCTCACATATGCCAACTATCTCCATATGGTCTTATTTTCATAGTCAGGACTCACTGGACTTTGGGTGCACATCATCTCAGCTAACTTTAGCAGCTGAAATGCTCGTACTCAAATAGTTGTCCCATTTCCCACTTTAATCAACAGATTGGCATCTCCCAAGGGTGATTCGAAGCATCCCATTATAGATGTCTAGTACTGCTGGACCTCAAGAGAGATATTTTCTGTTGATCATGGATGACCTGTTAGGGGGCAGGGAGAAGCTTTACAAAGGCTAGGTGAGCTGATCCTATTTTCTATGTCCATCAGATTAAAAGGTTATTTCTGTCTATCATCAACTCTTATTTTTCACAATAGCAAAGTCTATTTCTGGGAAAATATTTCTGCTATTAAAAGACAACAACTAGTTGGGAATAAAGGTTGGATATAGGAAAAAAAGACTACCTCCTGGCTCCAAAGTCTCTTTAGGGCTATCTCTTCCCCAAAGTGAAGAGGTTTGAGAAAAGTTCTAGTGAAAACTTTTTCCTTAAAAATAAATAAATAAATCTTCATAGGCTGAGCCATACAATACAGAAAACAATAAAAAAAAAGAATGCTTTTTTTTTTTTTCCAGTGAGTTTCAAGGATTATTGAATTCCATCCAATCTCTTTTGTAACTATTTAAGCATTGGACCATATCCTGCCTGTTTATGTATATATAGCCTTAGAACTTCATAAGGTAACTTTAAAACCTTAGAGTACTTAAGGAGATATAACCCATATTTAGCCCACTGTAGCTGAGAACCAAGCACAGGACCCAAACTTGACCATGAAGCTGCCAAGGAAAGAAATACAATAGGAAGAATTTGATATGATTTTGGACCATTACTATGCAAGGAGAGTGTAACAGTCAAGGAAAAGAAAATGAGAACTAGTTTTCTCTTTCATATGACTGTTTTTGATTTTTTATACTAAAATTGGATTGCAAAAGTTAAAAACATCAAATATAAAGTTGCATAAGAAGGTCTGAGAAAAAAATATTTATAATTCAAGACATTCCCATCAGAACATTGCATTTTGATAATATTTAACATTTTGTTTTGGTGTAAGTTTGTTTTCTTCCCAGTTTTTAACTATGTATTATCTTTTTCATGAAAACAAAAACCAGCCTCATCCAGGAATGCTGAAAAAGGATGTTTGAAGGATTTCAAAACTCATTAAGGCATTTTTTTCAAATGTTGTACAATAATCTGGGGAGGTATTCTGATCTACACCAGATGGTCTGTGCTTCACCAGAGCTCAATTTATGAAACAGGATGCTGTATATTTGCCAGATCCAGCCCTTGTGCACAAAGAGCTTCAATTTTGACAAATGTAATTTTGATGCAAATACTTAATTGAACAATTAGCAGCAGCACTTCTCTATAGAGTTTAGGGAAGCAAATCATCCCAGACCCAAATGATACATCCACCAGTGCTTTCACTGTCCAGTTTTGTATATATCAAATAACAGAACTTTGTCCACAAAGACCAAGAGATGTTACCATGGGAGTACTGGATTTACGTACTACTTAGAAACTCAATACTTATTTTGAAGTACTTTAAAAGCATTAGGAGAGTCCATAATTTTAAATTCCACTGGAAAGAGAAGTAATAACTTGGATGGAGAAGTGTGCAGAATGAATAGTTTAAAAGAATGCAGAAGTAAATTGATTTCAAATCCTATTTACAGAAAAACGTATTTGATGATTTTGAAATTGTGGTCTCTACGAGTATGTTCAACTGTTTTCTTTTTTTGAGTTCTCCTAGGTTTTATTTTTACTGTTGGCTTTAGATTTTTTTCATTACAACTTATCTGCAGTTAGTCCCCCTTCATACCACAGTAGCATAGTGTCCCAGATGAGTGTAGCTGTGTCCTCTAAGAGAGGTTATTGCAGTTGCCCTCTCCTCCTCTTACAGGGCAGGAATTTTAAGTACAGGAACATGAACAGAGAGCTGAATCCCAACACGTACCACTTGCCCAAGGTCACAGGGGAAGCCTTTCTCAGATCACGGCATGAACACTGGCGTCAGTAGCCTAAACACTATGCCAAAAATTCATTCCTTGCACACTGAATTCTACTTCTTGATATATCAATAAATAATTTCTCTTTTGCATCAGTATTTAAAGTGAAAAATCTGAAGGTTTTCCTGGTTTAAGACAGAAATCCACCCCTCCCCCACCAGGCCTCACACTAGTCACCCATTTTCTTTGCTGCAGAGCTCCCTCTCTTTTCCTCAATTTAAAGGAAACCCCTTTGCAAAGAAATCTTATAATGCCTTGCAGTGTCTACACATGAATATAGTATAGATGAGAAATGCCTAAAGATGCATGCCAGGGTTTCTGGTATTCCCTGCAAATGTGCATGGTGCAGAAAGAGCAAGTCATGCTCATGGAACTAGTCTTTATTTTTATCTTTATTTGGCTGTGGCATTTATATAAATTAAGAAGCTAGCCTCTGATAATCCATTTCATGGTCATATTTTTGTGGGAATATGCTACCTCTTTTTCTTCGTTCATTGAGGTAGAACTCTTCTGATATATACAATAAATAAAAGAGGGCTCTTATCTCTTGGGGGAATCCTTGGAAGAGAGACCCTGAAAGCAAGAGATCCTTCAAGAAGACTAGATTTTTGCCTGAGTTTCTCTCTGCTCTCCAGAACACACACACAGTCATTTTGAGAGTCCATTGGGCTTTTCTGGAAAACCATGGGCAGTGGTATTGAAGTGAGGTCTACCTAGTGCACTGCAAAGCAGGCACTGATGATTTAAACAACGCTCTGAGCCCACTCCTAGCCCAACACATGGCCTTGTCCATTGGCTAATAATCAGCCACCTGAAAGCACAGTCCAAGCTTCCTGATATCTGCATGCAACCTGCTCTGCACAGCACCTTGAAGTTTCTTAATGAGATCAAGGACACTTGCAAGAAATGGAGTTTGCACTTTGAAGATGAGAAGGACAAACTGGTCAATCCCCTCTACCCTAGCTCTGACCAAACCCAAGTGCTATAAGCAGAGTCATCACCATTCAATGTACCACTGCCAGAAGAAACACCACCAACCCAAGCCCTACCAGCCCTGGCTGCTCCTTTCTGTACCAGGTTAAGACATACATACTTTGATAGAAGCTGGGTTAAATTCAACTTCTTTTTTGGGCTCTGGTTCTGCTGGTTTTGGTGCTGGTTTGGGCTCTTCTTTCTTAGGTTCGGCCTTCTTAGGTTCAGGCTTCTTCGGGGGCATGCTGGTGGGCTGTTTTGCGGAGGAAGAGAAGCAGACAGACAGACAGACAGGAGCGAGGTGGCGGCTGCAGGACAAATCACCAGCGAGAGGCTTTATCCTGGTCCAGTCTCTTAAAGTCACACATTGTGTCACTCCCCGACCTGTCACATGCCAGGGCTTACAATAGGGCCACTGCTATAAAAGGACAAGACATCTACCCGGCTATTTTGGAGCACTCAGATAGGGCATTGTTACGAATTAGCACTTAAATGGAAAAAGAGGTTGGGGATGCTGGGGCTGACTCTGGCACTGGGTCAAACATTTTTAGTGTGTGCATGCGCGTACCTGAACAAGAAGGAGGTTAGGTTACGTTCCCAGTCTTCTGGTTGGATTTTTTGCACTCCAGGGCTATGCTCCCACTTACCTTCCCAGTTCACATGCTGCCAAGTGTATTTACGCCTTGACTGTCTTCAGTAAAACACATGCATTTACATTTAAGCATGAGAACAGCACAATATGGGAAACCTACCATCATCTACCATCATAAAAACTGGTGCAGAGGGGGAATTTGTGCCCCAGATCACTCATTTGTTTTTTTTTCTATGAAAATGCAAAGAATCAGTATTGTTTCTAGTAGTCTGCAGGATATATGCATATGGGCATACTCACATGTATGCACACACAAAAAATCAGGGATAATGCCGGGTGTCTGTGAGCAGATCCTTATGGCTGAGGTTTTCCAGACTGTTCCATGGACTTGAATGCCAAATTCCAAGTAAAATAGCTAAGATAAGGATATCCATTTGAGGCTTTTCTAATCTCAGCTTTATTTTCATTTATCTAAACTCCTCAAAGCAAAATGGTGTTAATAACTTTCAGATCTTTGTTTGCGTCATTTTTCCTAAGTCAAGAAAACACTCTCTGAAAATTCATTTTACAGTTACTTCCACATTGCTTAGATCTTATTTCTCCCAAAAGCATTGTCACTTGTAATGAGACAACTGATCCTTAAATTGAAATGAATATGACAAGAGGATCCGTGTTGATGTCTCGAATATATGTCAGCTAAACCACAAATCTCTCCTTCTTTTACAGAGTTCAAAACATCATCCTGGTAATCTACCATTCCAGAGCCTTTCAGACCTGCTTTGCCTCCGAGAGCCCTTAGCTTGGCCTCTAGATATCTGCCCGCCTGCAGCTCTCTCTTATCTGCATGGCTCAGACAGATGGAGCCCACATCCCATGGATTTACATGGTTATCTGGGGACAGAACTTTCCCAGAGCATTCTGTGGATTCACTGACCTCTGGTGCAGCCAAGCAAATTTCTATCCGTTCCTAAGATATAAACCTACATTTGGTTTCTGGGCCACATCATGGAATCTGTTGTGTTGGGCATGCAACAGAGATCATAGAATGCTTAAGGTTGGACAGACAACAGAGATGCACTAGATGATCCCACCTGGCTTCCAGCTGGCATTCCTGAAGGGTGTCAGTCTCCAATAAGCTCTGTGCAGTATCTGCCAGTTGCATATAAATGTATTAAACACTGTGGGATATCAGAAATGCAGCTAAAATCATTTTTTTTAGGCAAATTAATCCCATCCCTATGAATGATTAAATTGTAATTTAGGACATCCATACCCTCCCGGAGATAGTAGACAGAGACATCTCAAACTATACTTACATTTAAGTAACAGAATGAAGCCATAGGCATCTATAGTTGAAAGAAGTGAGGCACCATGCATTGAACGTATGGAATAGATTTGCGTTCCCTTTAATGGGAACACAGGCTCCAGCTTATATGAACAGGGAATATTTACATTGCAGACACCTTAAATTAAGTAAAATGAATTCCACCCAAACTGCAACTTTCCTTGCTGTTGGGACACCACAGCAGTGCACCTGCCGATGCCTAGTGCTCCTCTGAACAGGGTTGCCCATGGTCTTCACAAGGCAAACAAAAAATTATGTGAAAAGCGTCCAGTGCACTGTGCTAATAACATTAAGTGGTCCCTACAAATTGTGTGTACTTCTGCAAAGAAATAATGTAAAAGAACCTACTCCCCTCCCACCAGCCCCAAAAAACAAACAAACAAACAAACAAAAAAACAAATAATTTTCATGCCTGATAAAAAATTTTGTTTTATTTATTTCTGTATTGAAATGAGCTATGACTGGAGCTGTCTATGGGGCTCTCTGTAGGAGCTCTCTATGGATCCGAACAATGCCAGTGAGCAATTTCATCAACTTCCTCCCACTAAACACATCTTAATTGACGTATCAAGTCCTGCCCAGACTTGGGAAATTTTAGATTCAGTTCATTCAAGAGAGAAGAACTGCAGGGCAAATTAGCGTGTAGCTGTGACATAAGCATGGCATTTGTGTAGACACCAGCTGAAGCTCTCCAGTATTTTTCACATAACGCATGAAAAAAGCCATGGCATCTTATTCCTGAACAGAAAACTGCACTGTAAAATGTCAGGCAATTAAGATGCCAGCAGCAGTTCAACAGCAGCTTGGGATCTTGTCATGACCACCTTGGCGAGATAAGACAAGATTAGGATAACAAGGAAGGTCACATTTCACTTTCTCTTCCACATTACACAAATCAGCCGCAAGTTTTTCCCCTACCTGTATGCTAATAAAAAGACAGTAGAGAAATAAAAGTAAAGGTAGCTGAAAGCCCACCTCCGTCTGATTCAGATTTTCAGTCCAAGCTCATAAAATTCAGTAGTCAAGCTGACATATAAAGATTATCTGTGTTCTATATGGACTCATCATAAAATATATTCACAATACAGCTGGCTGGATACACTTCAGAAAAATCCATCCTTGCACTTCTGTCAAAATCAAATCAATCTGTACCATCCTGCTTCTTTCTGTAAATTGTGTGATTTGTTAAAATATATATATATGTGAGAAGGAGGCTTCTAACAACACCAAGAACTCCCATTAAATATTTGGGGATATTATTTTTTAATTATATGCTATTTGTGTGCAGCTGTATCAAATATAATATAAAATTGTAAAATAATCGGTATGTTTTTCATCAATATTAAAATACACCTTTTCCTTCCAAAGCTTCTTTCAGGAGGAAGGTAAGTAATGGTGGGTTCATTCAAATGGTCTTATTCAACAATGAAGACAAAATCTGAAATCACACTTCTTTATAAAACAGAATATTAATTTTCTGACAGGCTTTAATGGGTGTACTATATATGAGTTTATGACACATAAGGCATGTAGGAATAAAGGCTAAGAGCTGGAATAAAGAGAGTGGAAAAATGCTAGTATTTTGTTCAGTTAAGTCTAGTACAGTTAAGACATAACCATGTGAAAGCCTGAAGGAGTTCAGATGAATCATGCCTTAAAAAGGACTCCACTTCCCTCCACTACAGGGAGCCCAGGTGTGTAGATTATCTGGCAATGTCTGGGTTAGGTAAAATGAATGCTACCCAAGATAACTCAGCAGACCAACATCTTTATCTGCACCACTCTTCTGAACTACCAATAAGATAGGAATGTGAGTAAAAGAACAGACATGCAGGAGACCAACCAGAAACCAGTGGCTAATGTTTGAATTTGGGAAAGATCAGAGATTCATTTCCAGCTTTCTGCATTATTTCTAAGTTTTCCTAAATCATCTGAATAAATGAAATACTTCCTGTGAACAGCATAGGTTGTTTTCAGCAGAGGTGCTAATACTTGTGTGGACCTTCCTGGATGAGAACTTTAATACTATACTGGTATTCTATTAATTTCTGGCTGCAGAGTGACCCTGGTTGGACATAATTAACCCTCTGGTAGACCACCGTTTAGGATAACGGTAGGAAATTCTCCATGAAGTAGGAAATGTGAGTATGATCAGTTCCAGTGCATCTCTCCGTGTGGCATGAGTGTTCTGCCAACTGTTCTCCACCAAAGTCTTGTGTAAAAATAATGGTGGTTACCATGACCTGATCAGAACTCAGTAATTAATCATCAGTAAACACAAAATAAAATGGGCCAGAACTTGCTCTTTACTCCAAAGTGCAAATCTCATGCAGTTTTTGTTGTATTTTATACAGTTCTTATGGGATAGTTGCATTCCAAATGACTGTTGGGAACAGTCCCCAGTCTGGGCTGTCTCTTGCAAGATACCTGGGTATTGCCAAGGAAATCTATGTGATTTCTGCACACAAATTTCCACGTATGTTTGTTTAACTATGCAATGTTAAGGCAAAGCAGGGAGTACCTCAAGCTGGCAAACCACTGTCAGGTGGACACATTGGATCAGTTCTGTGTATTAAAGATACTCCCATGCCCTGCTAATGCTACTGTAAATATCCAGATTAGTGCAGCTACTCTTGCCTGAAATCCCCCATTCATCTCTTCCCTGAGGATCCCTAGAGTCCCAGCAGCTGAATAAAAAAAAAAAAAAAAAGAAAAAAAAAAAAAAGAAAAAGAAAACCAACTCTGACCAAAAATCTCTCTTCCTATTAATAGTTTCGAAGGGGGAAAAAAATGTTCTTCAGTTTTTTCTGTCATGTTCATGACAGATGTTAGTGGCAGATTGCAGTGCCAAAAAGCTGTTCCAGCATTGCTCTAGAGTCTTATATGAGAGGCTGGGTTAACTGCGAATTTTTTAACATTCTCTTGATCATTGGGGTATGATAAGTATCTTCTGAGAGATGGGTTGGGATAGTCTTCAAAGAGAACAGTTTCCAAGCAATTTCCAAGTAATTTCCCACAGAAAATTTGGACTTAAGAACTCAAAAAATAAAATATAATTAAAAAATGAAATATTCTGGCCAAAATCTGAATCATTTTAGTTTGGGAGGACTGCCATAGTGCCTTATGATTCCCCTCCCTTTGGTATGTCTCCCCACTTCTACTACATTTACTATGACTTGCTACAGTTACTTTCAGAGCAAAGAGAGGAGATTGTACAGTGGGAGGTGAACCCCAGTTTTGCGAGAAAAATGAGAAACTAATGTGAACAGCAAGCATGAAAAAGTGTTATAAGATGTTTAAACTGAACTATCTGGGGCTGAAACTTATCTGCTTTCAGATATTTGGCTTCTCAACAAAAGTACATTCTCC